TCAGCAAGTTTGGTTAGGTTATGACAGTTAAATTAAATTTAAATTTAACCGACAAACGATACGTTTTGACAGCGACAGTAATAGAGCTAACAATTTGAAGCGAACAGTTCGGCTTTGCACGGTATGATGCGGAAGCGTTCGGCACCAACCTAGAACTGACAGGTCCTTCGACCGTGATTAAGAGGATTAAGCCTGGTGCATGTGCCTACACCCGTACAGCTTTAGTGCAGCCTCAAAACCTTTTAAGGTCCTGGAATAATTATTGTACTTAATAAATATGCGATTAAGTTGCTTTCAGTGAATAGTGTTGCCCAGGTCATCGGTATGTCCCAAAGTGGAGTTTGTGGAGTAAACTAGCATTATGGCATATACACTTTGAAACAACTGATTAAAAACAGCTAATTTAGATATTTTATCGTTAATTTATTATTTGAAGACGTGGTGTAATCAGTAGTAACTTTAGTAACTTCCAAGGACTAACTCAATAGCTCATCACTTAACCAAAGTACAGTAAAGATATTTTTGCACATTACCATAGGTTTGTTACAAAACAAAAAAAAAACCTTTCCTCTGTGTTCAATGCTCGAGTAAAAGTATTATGCTCAAATAAAAATGTGAGTAAGGTCCTTAAGATTTTCCTTATAAATATATGTTTATTTTTCATTTGAATATACTGTACAGTATATACTCTATATACCTAATATTAATGATTTCAATAATTTAAAAACATTTCGTTGTTGGTAACTGTGAGAAGATCCGGCAGCGGCCACCAGCATTGCGTCTTCTGACACAACTAATGAGTGACAATATATCTGATCACACCGTGAACAGAAACATTTGCATTTTATGCAAATTGAGAAACGAACTGAAAATATTACTGGGTGGAAATTAGTTGTTGTTCTGCCAACTTTCAAAGAAAGTTGTTACTTTTTTAGGTAAGTAAAAACTTAAAATTTAATGAGGAATTGTGTTTATGGAAAGCAGAGCATAAAAAATCACTTTTTTTCTGTTATACAGTAGACATAAATCCTCATTTTTGGACTTTGGCGTCTAAACATTATAAGACAATTTGCATTCTGTTAACAAGTTCTTAGTTTTAAAATTTAATCATTATTGGTTAGTAAAAAAAAAAAAACAAAAAAAACAGCGTACAATTAAGCCTATGTACATTTACTATATGTTTTATGCTATAAAATAAAACAATTAGGAAATGATAATGCAGGAATTTCATTAATATTTTAGGTATTTCCTTACTTCCTTATTCATTACATGGGACTACATTAGTAGGATAGTCCGATATATTGTTACCAGTAGACCAACTAGTTCATATTTTCAAACAGATTAATAGTAGCTAAGTGTTTTATGATCCACTTTTTTATTTTTTTTACTTTTAAATTGGTTAAAGGTTAAACCGTGTACTTTTTACAGTTACAGTTTTAGCGAATTTCCCATGAGCTATAAATGGATATAAGCTATCAACGTTGTTTTCCTATATTTTTTTTACTTCCCATTCAAATTAACTTTTTCGGAACTCTAGTCTACGCTCAGGCTCTGTCTATGTAGACTTTTTCCTTTGTTATAGAAGGTATTTTTTTATACTTTTGTTCGCTTTATTTCTAGGGTATATAACTTTGGTTTTGTTATGTAGATAGTAGTCTAATGTTTGCTGTATTATTTTTAAGTAAAAAATACAATGTACTTATGTATATATTTAATGGGAAATAAAATTTTATTTCATTTCATTTCAATATTTCACCCTATGTCTCATGGTAGGTAAGGCCTGGACCCGGGACCGATTTACTTTTCGTTTTGATGTCTCCAGAGGTCAAAAACACCATCCGTTCAAATTCTTATGTATATTTATATGTGTCTGTTGAGCAAAAATCATCAAATTTTCATGAAATATGGTACAAACGTGTAAACCTATGTTTATTCGTATCGGCATGATTGGACCATGGGAACGGGAGTTTATGGGGGGGGGGGGGGGTTTATGGGGTAAAAATTTGTTTTTTATATTTCCTCTCAAAACATAAAATTTACCGATTTCTCTCTAAACCAGTTTGAAGAGCTTAAAAAACAAAAAAATGTTTAACTCCATAAACCGTATTGTGTAGGAATATGTAAATATTGAAGTGTTTTCGTATGGTTACTGGTTACGGGGAAAATTTAAAGAATATTAAATTTTAATTTCCCATGTTATTCTGAGGCCTCGGGTACGATAAGAGCGGCGAGCAGTGAGCGGCAAGCGGCAAGCGGTAACCTGAGCGGCATGTAAGCGGCGGTGTTGGCTACGATAAAGCGGCACATTTATAACGCTCTTCAAATTTCCCCAGTTTTATGAGTCAGTTTAGTGGAAAATGGTAAACTATGCTTACCTGCAAGACGTATTGCCACTATTGTTGCTATCTGACAATCAAATTGCCTTTATAGAAAAAGCTTAGCTTTTAGAAAAAAACCTTAACCCTAACTTTGTCCCATAATTTTCTGGTGACTGAAGTGTTTTAAAACTTCCGTGCTGATCATTTCACAAACATTCCCTGGACTGCACCTCACGTATCGACCCGTATCGCATGTTTTCTGCTGTTTCCCTGTCATTTTAGGCCGAACTGAAGCATGACTCACCTGAGCGGCGAGCGGCGTTTTCGCAAAAATCGATTTTGACTTGGCTCACACGTATCGTGGCCACCCTCAACAAATTTACACGCAACTAAATGAGACCCGATTTCAGAGCGGCGCCACTCACCACTCGCCGCTCGTATCGTACCCGGGGCCTGAGAGTAAACTGTTGTTGTTTGCTTGTTTATGGATACTTTTCGATCTAACTTCGGCAAATTTATTTTGTACTAAGCTATTGTTATTCTACTATAAATCATACTTTATGACCCTCCTTGTAGCAGCAAACCTAGGTACTTGTTAAACCTAATGTTATTTAAATAGATTTAAGTGAAAATCAAATCAGATGAAAATTCGCTTACTGTACTTTGCAGGTTTGCGGCGGTGGGGGTATTATATACTTTTTATAATCACTTTTTATAATTAGGCCTACTGAAATTTGTATAATGTTTTGCAGTTACTGTATAAAACTGTTTTTACTAATATCTATACTATTATAAAGAAGAGGTGGTGTCTGTGTGTGTGTTTGTATGAGCTAATCTCAAAAACTACTGAACCTATTGGGCTCAAATTGCACACACATGAAGCTACAGTTCCGAGGATACATATAGAACTACCGCTTCAATATTGTCCTAGGGCTCTGCCCCGTGGGCTTTCAAAAATCGGAGGTGAGAGATTTCAAAGTAAATTTTGATTGATGGTATCCATGACAACAAAGAACAAACCTACAAAGTTTAAAAATGTAAACAAGCAGTACTAACTGTCAAATTAATTTTGATTTCACAATTCCATACAGCTGGTTCAAACATTCATTTAAATACTGCATGAATATTAGAACAGAGAGGGTAAGGATCATATTTAAAATAATGATGTCACTATCCTGAATGTAAACATTATTTAACATTACTTAAATGGAGCTGTCAAACCATACGCTAATGTAACTTTATACTTACATGCCAACCCCGTACGAAGGACGGGTACTCTGCTAGTAAGTTAGTAAGTAATAGCATGCATGTAAAAGTTTGTATGAACGAAGGTAGCTTCTTATTAACAGTGTTGAAACTATGACACAATTTCACTTTAAAACCTTTTTTTTACAGAATGACAAAAATGCTGTTTTATTATAAACTCATTGGATTTAAAATGTACACACAATACAACCTTTACGTAAATTTAACATTTATTTACGTAATTTATTAATATTTAAGACCAGGGTTTGGACTGTTCCTGCAGAGGCGGCCCTACATTAAGGAAAACAAGGCGGTGCCTGGGACCCCGTGCTTTTCAGGGCTCCCACATAAAATATTATTAACAGTTGTGAACCCTTCTTTACATACGAGGGCACTAAAGAGTTGCATCTTTTAAAACAACAGACCTGCAAAACGGGGTTTCAAAGAACGTCAAAGGTTTTAACTTTTCGTTCCCTTTACATTTACAAAACCTTGCCCAAATACTATATTAGTTTATTTTCATCTCTTTTATTTAATTTCCAGGTTTCTGATCAATATAGGAGAACTGGGCAAATTATTGTTTTGTACAGCCTGATTTTTGTTTTGCAGGACAAAGATTTAGATGAAAAAGTTGGCATAATTGAAAAGTCTGTGTTTGCAGCTACCTGTTCATGTTCTTCATTAGTTTTTAATTCAGAATAAGAATACTGTACAGAGTAACAATTTTCCAAGGCTATTTTTAACGGAAGGGCGACGAAAATAGTAACATGGGAAAATGTGAGACCAGGTATTCTCATTCTAATTCTGATTTAAAAACCAATGATAGCTAGGCAGACTTTTTAATCATACCAACTTGAAAGAACAACTAATTTAAAGCTAAAGCAATTTTTTATAACATCACCAATTGATTATAAATGTTATTTAAGAAATGAGGTGTCTATATTTTTCACACTAGAAAAAAACATAAAAAAGGTTGACATCAAAGATATTCTATGTGTCCAAGAGTTAAACACATAATTCAATTTTGCTTGAGTGCTTGATTATTTAAAGAGATCCATTCAATACCTCAAAGGCTTTCAAAGGTTAGAGATGCGAATTTCCAAAGAAATTTTTGGTCTCCATAATAACTGATGACAGAAAGAACGCAATCAATGGTAGTTATGCCTAGATATTTGCACAGTTTTAAAGAATTATTTGTTAAAAAAGTTCCAAAGTTCTTGTCCATCCATTATAAAGCTTGTAGCATCATTAAGTGGGAGAACAAATAATTTTCATAGCACACATTCTAAGCTGTTCATACAGCTATGCTGTCTTTTAACAAAACCCTCACTTCTGCTGGCCCATAGATGGGATGTCTACATCTGTACATATCAGTATATGGAGTTGGGTAGAACATGAGACAAAAGGCTTTCAAGGATCACATCAATTAAAGAGAAATAAATTTTCAAAACTGTTTATTAAAGAAATGAAATGCCACGGTTAATGACTGGTATGGACTTTGTGATGTCCGTTTCCGTTTACATTTGAGAAACTATTCTTTTTACAAATCATAGAAAAAGATAAATATTAAAACTAGTATAAACATTTATTATATATCATTACAAAAAGACTTCAGGCCACAATATGAACAGGGTAAGTTTACAATTAAAATATTCCCTATCTTACACTATTTACAAAACATTAGGTAAAACGATAAAATTAATATTAAATTATTACTATACAATTAATAACTAACGATGAACACAGAATACAGATTAGGAATTATTGTAGCTTACAGTTAATGATCATAGTACTACGTAAAAACAACCAACAGTAATAACGTAAAAAATCTACTTTTGTTTGGGCCTTTTATAAAAATAGCGGTTTGTGGAAATCGGATAATGTTCATATTGTGACTTATCGGTGTGATGAAATTACATTACAAACATTAAGTAATACTCGACTAAGTGGTTACATTTGAGCGGGTACTGAGAACAAAATTACAAGTCCCCAAAAGGGAAATACGTTGACTAGCATTAATGTTAGTAGAAAATATAAAATATACACCTCTTTCGAAATGCATGGTCGCGATTGAGGTATGAAAATATACTTTAGATCAGTCACTCAAGGAAGGGAGGTTAACTAAATCGCTACGTGTCTAAACTACCCTACTCTTAAGGCCTCTTAATGAAAGTTTGAAAATCGTTTCTAAAACTGTTTAGAAAACAATGCTTTTTTGCTAAGTGAGAGAAAATAATTTTAATTCTTTTTTTATGACTAATTCTATTTTAAATAAAAACCTATATGGGACAGCTAATTACAGGTTGCACAAATTATGGTTTGATTTATAAATATTTTGTGTTTTTGTTAGTATGAAAAGTACCACAACTTTTACACAGTTGTTCGTAGTCAACTTATGAGTCACTTAACACATATCATGTTACAGGTTATAATAATTATTGAAAATTTCTCAGGTTATATTACATCTCTAAAGAGCAGAAAAACCAATATTGTAAATTTTTTACACAGTTACAAAAGATATTGGATACAAATGACATATAAGTGAGATTTGAATCTCTTCTAAAGGAGGCCAAAGTTTAAATTACAAAGACAAATTATCAAAAACTATAATTATATCTCATCACATTGATTCGCAAATTATTGATCACATTGATTTCCAAATTAGTACTTTGTATTATTTTTTATTCCTAAAGTTGTGCATCTTATTTTTGAAAGAATGTGTTAGTAAATTTGTCCATTGGTTTCAGACCCCCTTTAGTTTGTAAAGATTGGAAGACAGGTAAAGAATTGTTCAAGAAAGGTTTATTCAGGGGAGGTTGTTCGCGGCCAAGCTATTTTTGCATCGATGCGTTTATACGCAAACATGCAATGTTTTCCGATGGTGGATACTGATCCTTTAATGTCTTGAGGGCAGTCTGTTTCTCCAAGAAGTGTTTCTGAAACAAATAATTGTTTTATTAGTTAACACATATGTATATATAGCAAGAAATTTTTACCAGGGCTAGATTAAAATTTTGTCCCTAGACTATCGACTAAATTTTAAAACTTTTTTTACTGTTCAGAAAATTCTTTAGAGTAATAATATTTGAAGCAAATTTGCAATGAACTTGCTTTATGAAAAGAATAACTACCTGTCAAAAGCGAAAACATCAAGGAATTGTTTTTAACTTCTTCCTAGCATGGCAAATAATATCCATATCGGAAGTTATGTATATTAAATTAGTGTATTACAATTATCGTATAGCTATTCTGAAAGAATTTGTGCTAAACCATACAGAAATCTACTAGTACCTAATGTGTTTCACTATACCGGTAGTCTTGATGCAGTTTTTGTAATCACAACCATTTGCAATTCATGGCAACCAAATTTTTTGGGAACTTAAAAATTATTATTAAAATTAAGGAAAACTAAACTGTTTTTAAAAAATATTGGCAGCATTTTAAGGTGTCTACAAAATCTAAAAAAAAACTGTGACCTTTCTGTGATTATTTGTGAATCATACTGTATGTGTAGATTAGCATCCATAACAGCTAGGGAAAAATCAATAGACCTAAAAAAACATGAGTTTATCATGAGGTAAATAAACTATGAATGTAAATTTATTTATGTTTTGGCTATAAGTATAATTTAGAAACCTAATATACTCGTCCATTATTGCTTATATTTTTACTATATGAAGAAATGATGTTGAATGTTTTCAGCAATTTTTCCTATTACAGTGACAGAATCTGTGACTTTGAACAATTTTAAACTGAAATCAGTGATTTTTGAGGGTTCAGTTTTTTTTTATCTCCAAGTAAAATCCTTGAGTTTTCATTGACTTCCAAAACCTAGTTAAATCATTGGGTTTCAGTAAAAATTATTTAAGTGACTAGCAGACACCTAGATTTCAATACACAAAACATCTCTAAAGCTGGGTTTTCCTGGGGGTGGAACGTGGAGTTATGATTTCACTTTCTTTCTGTCTTAGGAAATTTAATAGTAGGCTTTCCTACGGAGCTGACCACCATTGCATTCCCTTCCCCTCACTACGCTATCCAAGCCTAAGAAAAGCCGGCTAAACACAAAACAAGTTTATGCACCTTCTCCATCGACCAGCTTGTACAGTCCGTAGTCCTGGGGGTTGGTGATCCGGACCTTGTGCGCAATGATCTTACACACCTCTCTCGTGGTCATGTTAGGCCTCACTGGGAGAGTTTTGGTGATGATAGATCCGTTGATTTCATCAGGAACCACAATCTTCAGCACAGAGCGAAACTCTGACATAGGTCCGCTGCCCCACTGCAACAACCGGAAAAATCAGACTTTACTCATGAATAGTACTTTAGAATATATATCAGTGGTCCTTGAATTATGTTGAGATAGTCAAGAAGAAGTTCCTTCTAACCTCTGTGAATGCTACAAACTTTAAAACAATATATATATAGAGTTCATGTCTAGATACAAAAACTATAAATTACAATTGACGTTTTAGAGCAAAAATGCTATATTGCCGGTAATATTTTAAGAAAGTGGATGATTTCCAAAAATTATTCTATAACAAAGAAGGACAAAAACGAACATAGAATGCATAGATGTTTTTAAGAATATTATAAATTAGAAAAAAACACATCGTAGGTTTTATACTAGATAAATAAGTTCCTTAATCATAGATTTTCAAGAAGAAACACACAATTAGTATAACTACTTATTAAAGATAAATTTTAAAATATAACCTTATAAATGGAAGTTTGAATTAGACTTAGAGACTAAAGATCCAAGGGTCGATTCAAATTAGAGCAAAGAATACTAAAATTCTTACCATAAAAAAAACTCTAAAATTAGTTTCAGGAATTCTGCAGCTTTTAAGCAGTGTGTCTTTGACCATTACTTAATAATTATATATAAACAATTTTTGTTATTTTGTGGTGCTATTTTAGCTTCTTAAACACATGTATATAAGCGCTGGTTTTGTGGAGCAGTAACACGTGGGACTGGAGTTCCCACTCTGTGTTTTTTAATAGTCTTATATATAAATCCAATATTAGTCAGTTTTTAGGTGAGTGTTTCCACACTGACTACACCACTGCATTTAACATTGCACTACTTCTTGTCAAAACCTTTTGGTACCAAATATTTGACTGTATTAAAAAGGCTATTTCCTTCAAGAAAACATACAAATACGACAAAGTCGGGTTTTTTTATTACATGGTAGGGTAAAATCCATTATCTAAAAAAATAATTAAGACTGTAAATGAATAACTAACTAAGGCAGAATATGAACCATTGAAGTAAGTGTTGTACTGTATATTTAAACATTTTAAGTCATTAATTTGGTGTAGGCCTACTTATACAACAGGAGTTTTTCATGTTTTTTTTTGTGAGAGTACAGGTACAAGAGTGGTCTAAATGTTCACCATCTTTACCCCCCTTACATGAACGTTCTGTGTATGTCCACACTCCACAGTACAGTACTACAAGCAGCCCTTAACCTTTTTTATCAGAGAAAAAGTATGTTTAGCCATAAGATACAATTACTAGTCATCTTATATAATTTTTAAATTTTCATTTTTTTTGTAAGCCTCAACTGCTTAATCATGACTTATGATCTGTGAAGTTTTTGAAAGATAGTTAAGTTATGGACTCAAACCATTCATGTCCAAGTTATCAGCCCAAGACGTTATGATGTACCTTGTTCGGCAATAGTCACAAGAGAGGTATTGTTTTTTTCAGTGTTCAACAGAAAAAAGTACATTGAGGACAAAGAACATGCAGTAGCCATTGTTGCCTCTCTGCTATATTTTTGAATAGTGTTTGGATGTCCTCAAATCTTATTCCAAAAAGCTACACAACAAATCTGTTCTAAAATTTGATTGTTGCTAAATATTTGACAACTACCACTTTGGCCAATGATAGTTGGATAAATAACTTTGGTGAAATTTATACAATTTGACTATACTGTTGACTAATGAAAGGGATAACCAGCAAATTGAGCTAAATGGCAAGGTAATTGAAAGAGTAGAAGATTTTGTCTATCCTGGAAGCATCGCATCTTTGTGACGTGGGGCAGACGAGGGCGTGGCACAGAGGATCAGGAAAGCCAAAGGAATTTTTGCACAGCTGGCTCAATTCTGCGATCAAACCAATTAAGAAGAAGTATAAAACTTAGAATCATTGGAACCAACGTAACATATGTTCTTCTTATTACGTTGTCTAACTTGGAAAGTGACAAAAATTATATCAGCTCAAAAACTCCAGGTTCATAAGCAGATGCCTTAGAAGAATTTTTCATATCCGATTGCCTGATATGATCACCAACGAAGAGTCACAGAGGAGGATGCAAATATCCCCCGTTGCTGATGTTAAAGAAGAAAATATCGGTGAATGTTCTAAGGAAATCTGAAAATAACATAGTGGAACCCACAAGGAAGCAGGAAGAGGGGCAGACCGAAGATGACTTGGAGGAGATCGGTGAAGAGAGAGCTGAGCGAGGAAGACAAGAGTTGGGAAAAGCAAAGCAGATGGCCCAGAATCGAGTTTGGTGGAATTATTTTGTAGTGGCCCTACGTCCTCCTTGGGATTAAAGAAAATAAGGCAAGTACCTAACTCAGTTGACTAATGACTTATATTCCTTGCCTCTGCAAAAAGTAGAGCTCATAATTTTGATTAAAAATAGGTATTTACCTTCGTCTACAGCTCAATTTGTTGTAACTTGGGTTACGGCCGTTTCGGCATTATAATGCCATCGTCAGACGTTGAACATTCAGCTGAAGTAGCGTCGTCATAGTTGAAACACATAACACGAACACGAATAACATTTTACAATTACTAACGAAGACACAACGAACAGGCCTGTCGCACACACGGTACCGGTTGACATTGCCACGATCTGAACTGGATGCCGACTGGAGGTTAATCCTGCATCGTTCTTTGCGTAGTGGTGTTATCAGCTGACCTTTGTACTTCTGCCTTTTGTCTCTTGTCCTGGTCTAAAATACTATTGAAAATTATGTGTGATTTATATTGTAGTTTGTCATTTAATATTGTGTCATCAAAATTATTTTCTGTATAGGCTCTGTAAATTTCGTATTCTTCTAATGTGTCCAACAACTAATTTTGATGACACAATATTAAATGACAAACTACAATATAAATCACACATAATTTTCAATAGTATTTTAGACCAGGACAAGAGACAAAAGGCAGAAGTACAAAGGTCAGCTGATAACACCACTACGCAAAGAACGATGCAGGATTAACCTCCAGTCGGCATCCAGTTCAGATCGTGGCAATGTCAACCGGTACCGTGTGTGCGACAGGCCTGTTCGTTGTGTCTTCGTTAGTAATTGTAAAATGTTATTCGTGTTCGTGTTATGTGTTTCAACTATGACGACGCTACTTCAGCTGAATGTTCAACGTCTGACGATGGCATTATAATGCCGAAACGGCCGTAACCCAAGTTACAACAAATTGAGCTGTAGACGAAGGTAAATACCTATTTTTAATTAATATCACAGCTCAGGGGCTAAAAATGGATTTTAATTCATAATTTTGATTGCTTTTCAACCAGAGAGATGTTATTGCCTTCAGGTTGAAAAACACACCAATTGAAAGGTTCATATAATGCCAAATTTTGGTATTTTGTGATGGGATATCTCAACGCAATAAATTAGAAAGACAAATAAAACCCAACTGTGTGTAGTTTTGTTGGAAGTTTTTATTTTGAATTTTAAACTTCAAAATAGGTTTATAGTTGTACTATGAAGTAAGAAAAACTCATTTAGAATAGAAATAGCGTCAAATATTGAGAAAATATTTGAGTGGAAAACCAAAACATGGATGTGTCTTCATAGCTCAAAGCTGGACATAAATAATTGTATAAATGGCAAGGAATTTAAAAAACTAATTCCTTCATGAAACTTCATATTACATTGAAAAGCCAAACAATACATTAAAGCAGAAAGGAAGAAAAAGGAACACATATCTAAAAAGCTTATTTATTTAACAACAAAAATATTTTTTTCCTTTCAATTTATTACAAACAACATAACACTAAAAATAAATAGGTAAAGCTCATGGGGAATAGAGAAAGTACAAAAAAATATTTACAAAACTTAACAAGTTAGAGTGAGTAAAAAGTAGATTATATGAGATTTGATTGTAAATTATACAAATGGAAACCTGAAACAGTATTATGTGTCTACCACAAATTCATATTTCTCTAGAATAGCTGCACCTTGTAGTTTTTATATGATTTATATTTACAAGCATTATCAAAGCAAATTAAAAGAAAGTAAAATAAAGCGAAGAAAAATAAGTACAAACAACTTAAATTTAAAAAGCAACACAATAAAATCTAGTAATACAAAATATCTTACAAATAAGAAAAAATCCAGTAAAATGGTTATTGAAAGAAAAAAAAACTGCAAGTCTCCCCAAGCCACTGTTTCCAGTGGTGAGGACGCGTGTTTGGAAAGAGACGTCTCAGTGGTGAGGACGCGTGATTGGAAAGAGACGTCTCAACTACAATGGTGAGGACGCGTGATTGGAAAGAGACGTCTCAACTACAGTGGTGAGGACGCGTGATTGGAAAGAGACGTCTCAGTGGTGAGGACGCGTGATTGGAAAGAGACGTCTCAACTACAATGGTGAGGACGCGTGATTGGAAAGAGACGTCTCAACTACAATGGTGAGGACGCGTGATTGGAAAGAGACGTCTCAACTACAGTGGTGAGGACGCGTGATTGGAAAGAGACGTCTCAGTGGTGAGGACGCGTGATTGGAAAGAGACGTCTCAACTACAATGGTGAGGACGCGTGATTGGAAAGAGACGTCTCAGTGGTGAGGACGCGTGATTGGAAAGAGACGTCTCAACTACAGTGGTGAGGACGCGTGATTGGAAAGAGACGTCTCAACTATTCAAAGCAGAGAAACTCATAAATTGGAATGAGACGAGTAAATGTTTAAGTTTGGAAAAGAGTTTATGGATGGAGTTAAGGTTGGAAGATAAAAGTTTAGTAAATCTATTACAATAAATAACTAACGCTAAATTTGGCAATATATGTACACAGTTTTTAACACATTTTATTTACATTTAATGTACAGAGTATTTTATTTTTAAGATATTTTTACTTGAAATGTTATGTTATCAATGGCAACCACCAGAGTGATAGCTATGATTTCTAGTTTTATTATGAATAATCCTTGCATTTAATTCTTTCTTGTTATTTTTCAAGGGATTGCAACAGAAATATTTAATTGAAGTAAAAATGTTTTCCATACTTTGAGCACAAAACAAAATAAAAATTAGATGGTATGTTTAAGCAGCCAAAGTTTACTATTGGGAAGGTGTTTATGCAGCTTAAACATCTTTATTGGATATATCTAAATTAGCTAACAAGGTTTTACTGGCAGTAAACTGTCTTTTGGATGTTATTTTATCTATTTTCAAACCACAAAAAAAGTTCAAAGACAATTGCAGATACTAATTGAATTGGGCTTATAGTTATTACTTTTAATCAAACTAATTATAAAATTTACCAGCAAGTGTGGGATAAGTAACCCTCAGATCTCTTTCTCTTTGACCACTTGCAATGATAGTCTTTGATGTTCAGCGGCAAAACATAGATTTACCAACACCAACCAACAACTGGCTGGCGACTCAGCTATCTCATCACCTACTCAAACCTCAGCTTAACCTTAGAGAATGTTTCTGTCTCGTCATCACTCAACCTCTCGCTGCTCTCCTGCTCCATGCAGTCGTTGTATCCGCTGTCGTTAGTTTCCTGTGAGGTGCTGAGGTAGCTTTCGGACTCGTAACTGCTGTAATACTCTAGGGGGTGACTTACGTCTAGGTTTGGCTCGCTGTTGGTGCACGCCTTGAAGTTCTTCAGCACGTGTACAGCAGAGGAGAGCGTGGTGAGGTAGTACCCACCCTCCCCAGAGAGGAGAGAGGGATGCAGCAACCCCCACATGTACTCTGCCTCGATCTCCGCAGCGATCATCCCTGACTGGACCAGCACCCAGACAAAGAGGGGGAGGAAGTCGTCAGCTCCCAACATCAATCCCTTGCCTCCACTGCTGGTGTTCACCTTCACCTGGACATTACGTAAACGGTCATTGGATGCAAAGGGTTGTACAGAATATTTCCACATATTTGAGTGAACTAAATATTATGGTGGTTACGTCATAAGTGATTAGTAGCTTTACCTTTGCTTTGAAAAGGTCTAGTAGCTTTGGTCTCTCTGTATTTCAAAATCTGTTGAGAAAATTCTGTGGTTCTTTAATGCTACAGTACCGATATTGACATACTACCATTAATTTTACTAGTATAATATATCCTCCTGGGTTCAGTATTTGTTTTTTGCATTGAAAAATAAATGTTTGATTCACAAGGTTATCCTCAAAACCCTCAAGGAGAAAAATACTAAAAATATTAAAATAACAGTATGCTTGTGACACAGCAAAATGCCTAAGCAAAGTAGGAACATTTATGCATATTCATAAACATTGAGGTAGTTACAACAAGAGGCATTATTTGTCGACTTTTTTTATCTTATGAAATAATATTAGTACTATTTTCAACAATCCAACAAATATTGGTAATCAGCCTCCCTCCTAGTCAACTGTAGGTTTTAAATGATTTTATACTCGTCCCAATTTGTAATTTAAATTTTGAGTTTAACTTATTGTTGTACTCACAGAGTTAAATATGGCAGAGATGGCTGTGAGAAGATTCTCCAGTTTCTCGAGAGGAGAGTCGACCTCCTGGAGCCTGTGAAGATACTCGCAGATTGTAGCCAAAGACTCTTCTGATGGTGGGATGATATTTTTCTACAAATAACATTACAGTTTTATAAAGGCTACAATATTTAGCTAGATTTCCATCAAATGTGAGTGAAGATTTCTGTAAGTTTTTTGTCTGTCTAATGCACTCCTTGAAACATACAATCTGACTCGGAAAATACATTTTTGGCTTGTCAGAAAGGCATCACAAAAATATGGTATTGCAAGGATGGGTAATTAACTAAGTATTATGAACCCCCCCCCCTTCTTTATTAGTATATTGTGCTCTGTTACAAGATACTTATTGGTTTATTCACGAAACTGGACAAATGATAAAGTACTGAGCAGTTAAGGAAACTATTACTATATATATTATTTTGTTCCTAAGATACTTGTTCCTGTTACAAGTTGACTCAAACATGGTTGATATTACTCATATGGACCAACATTTTAACTCTGGTGTATTAATCACATGTTTGATATCTGATATTTAAAACGCAAACATGTGGAAGCTACTTATATACATCTGATTAGCTTTACACACACATTTTCTGATAAAAGCATTTAAAATGTGTTTTTTTTTATTTAAAAGCCAGCACGAAATGACTCAAAGAGTAAACATACGATACTTAACTCAACGAAATATCTAGTAAAATAATTTAAAACTTGACCGCACACCAATAAACATATTATAATCATTTTAAGCACAGTTTGTTGTTTGATGCTGATTTTTTATGTAACTTAAAAATGGATATGAAACAAGTTAAATATAGGATTCAGAGGAGACATACCCTGATGCCGAGCTCGTGCAGAGGTTTTGTCCGGGCCAGTATGATGTTGTCGGCCAGCAGTTTGATGGCTCCGTTATTGCTGTACTCCTCTACGAACAAGTGGTAGAGATGTTCCTTGAGAGGGCGCACTACCAACTTGTGCATCACGCCTTCCAAGATGGCGTCCAGGTTGAGGAACTCGTTAGCTTTCAGCTGAAAATGTGGGATGTTTAAACCTGGAGCACTGGACTGCAGACAATGTGGTTTGACAATGCAGATCTTAATGATGTAACAATGGTGAGAGTATGCACATGTCTCATAGGCGGGACACTTCTGTTTATCGATACCTAAAAGTACTTTTGAAAAAGGTTTTTTGAGAAAGTGTGCAATAAAGTCTTCATATGCTTACTTAATTGTCTTCAAATCTGAAGGTTGCTGGTTACAATTGAAAACAGGATAAATACTGAAACTAGATGCAATTTTTAATGGGCTACCAATTAATCAGTGTAATTAATTAGTGTCTAAAAAGACACTTATCATTCCACATCTTTGATAGATCGTTATAGCATCTTATATCTCATTAAGTTGTTACCTGTTTTTTTTTTTACGTAAGATGGTGACAAGACTAGGGTTTTGATCATCCCCTTACAGAAAACATAAAGAAATGGCAATGCAGTAGAGAAGCAAAAATTAACAACATGAACCCACAATGTGTGCGAATTGTCTAGTGACATGGCCATGTTCAACTACTGATAAATATTTTACACCTCTTCATGTAGATCTATTGAATTGTGTACATCTATTATGCACTCACCTTCCCCCGTTCCCGGTCAACTTCCTTCTCGAACTCTCGCTCTCCATGTTTGACCAGGTAGTTCTTCATGCCGCTCATGAACTGTCGCATGTTCCGCATGACGACCTGCGGCTTGGTCTCGCGAGACTCGCGCGTGCAGGCGATGAAGTTGTCGATGTTCTGTGCGAAGGTCGTGCTCTTGTCGGCGGCCAGGTGGAGAGCGTACGCGCGGATGCTCGCTCCGCCCCCACCTGACTCTCGCCCTCGCTGTAACGCCTGGAGGCGGGGAGGTGCTGGAACAGGTTCAATTAATTGTAAGCATACATTTGTAAGCACACAGTGTTGTAAATTATGGTTGAAAGCAATGTGGATAGGTCATAGCTGAAAAAGCTTCTCCTGCATACTTCCTACCTTTTGTAAGAAACAGGTACCATAATTAAATCTGTAAACACAGAAAAAACATAGCGTTTTTAATGACACAAGCTAATGATAATTAAGGTGTATTGGTCATTGTGAAAATAAGTAAGGGAATCACAAGGCAAAAAATAAGAAAAATTGGAGAAAACCGCTGTGAGACAAACTAGGCACACACTGTGAACAATTTAGCTCTTTGTCTCGGGTAGAGAAAAGAGAAGTAGTCAACAGTCTGAAAAAATTAGGGGGGTTTCCTAACCAATAGAGAAATCTTAGGGTTTCTGCAATACCTTCTGAACATTTATAACTCTCCTTAGCAAACAGGGACACAAGAGAAGGTCTGCAGTTTCGATAAGTCTTGCTCCAAATCTTATTTCAATCATTGACGGTTATAGGGTTAAACAATCCCTACATTAACTTAACTTTTTTTATTCAAGCATAAACTGTTCATTCTAACACTTTTATACTTGGTAAATGAGAGAATTCTATTCATTCTGAGAAAGTAATAATTCAAGGTTTTCTCAAGATATAATAGTTAAAAACAGTTAACAGAATAATCTGTGGTAATTTTACTGTGATAAAATTTAAAGAAGACCTCATAACCATCTGATAACTTAGACAACTTGAACTTGGTAAGCTGGCCTATCTACCCCTAATTGAGTGATTATAGGATAATAAATGCACAAGCCTGATAAGATAACTGTAAAGTTAACTGTGTTCCATTCAATTTTACTATCACATAACAAGTTTTTTGTGAAATTGACCAAGAACAAATCAAAGATTAAAGAGATTTTCATTTTACATTGTAATGGATAGAAAGTCATATCTATCAAATCAACATTCTTCAAGAGATAGGTCAACATAGACAACATAGTGTTGTTCCAGTTATGTAAAAAAATTTGATAAGAGGGTCAAGGTTCGCTAAGCTTCCCTTGATAACATAGTTAAAATATCTCAATTTGTTGACAAGGAATATTTCTCATGGGAATTGCTCTAATCTCTTTGAAATCTTTTATTGTAACTCCCAAAATACCATTTGTAACGGTTAGGGTTAGGCCTACAGTAGCTTAAGACAGTTTTTTACAAAAAGCTACCTATGTGATTTACCAATTCAAATTTAGTAAAAATACCATTTATGAAAATGACAATACAAAATACAGAGACAAAACTATTCAAATTCATATCTGATGTTTTCATACAGATGCCTAAGAAAATAAATAAACAACCATAATTTTTTTTTTCAAAGTGTTCCTAAGTTGTGTAGGCCTACTGTTTTTTTTTTATTTATTTAGGATACATAAAGTGTAAAGAACCAATATATTAAAACTTGAGTAGATTGTTTAATTTAGGTTAGGCTACTCAGGTCAAAACCTGTAAAACTGATTAATAACCTAACTATAACCTTCACACTCAAATAAATGATGAGTAAACATCCAAATTCAGTCATGATTTATTTATGATAATGGTAATAAAACTCTGTAAAATGTAGATACGCGACGAAATCAGTCCAACAATAAACAAAATGTGTGACATGATGAGACACTTCGCTACAGAATCAAGCCTTTACTCAGAAATCTCCAAATCAGCTGAACTGCTGAACAGCTGTGGCAGCTGGCAGGTGGTTTAGGTCACCTGTCTAGTATCCTGGAAAGAATATATTGAACTGTGGACACACTCCACCACAGCTGCGTTAACGACAAAAAATTGGCTGGGAGCAGATAATATGAATATTCAGTCCTTAAAAATCCTTAAAAACATACAATCAGACGAAATTTACTAACAGTCACGTCTTAACGAATCATGATTTTAATCAACTAACATACAAGACGAAATCAAAATACAAATACTCCTCTAAAACCTTTGTTTAAGATCTCGAAATTTACGATAAAAGGAAAAGCAGGTTTTCTTCTAACTCACAGAAATAGAGCCTCATGAATGGTTTGTATTAACCTGCATCTAGACGATAATTCGTTGTTTTATGTAACATTTAAGGTTTTAATGATATATTTATCTTTAATACGGTATACTTCACTCGCTGAATCGCTATATAATTTATAACAAATTATGGAAAACCCCACATAGCTCTAAAACTTCTAAATCCAGGTGTTAAAAGTCACTTGTCTCTAGATTCGTTTGTCTCGGGCTTTTTTCTTCAATAAATGTTAAAAACATTTTTCAATGAATTTTTGAGACTATCAAATATTACAAAGAAAAAAATTACGACATATACCTTTCCATAATATTTAATTTGTTATTCAGTTATTAGTAAGGCCTATGTGCTTCGACTTTTGGTTGTCTGGTGCTCAGTTCAAACCATCTTCTCCCGAAAGATCTATAAAATATCTTCGGGACAACGAATTCAAAACGCTAAACGTAACAACTCACGACTAAAGTACTTAAATTGTTACTAAAACAGGCCACAACTCACGTCGAAAGCAGGACGTCAACAGACGCACGACTTTCTGCGAAGCTGTTCGAACCCATCTGACGATTTTTTGTGTAACAGGAACAACCGCAGGACCCATGTTGGCGAGTTGAAGAGAATATATATTCACCCATACAAGGTGCAAACAGACGATCACTCGAGAAAAACACCTTACTGACCATCAAACTCCCCTACACAAACTCCAAACACAACAGAACAACAGTTTTTGTCACAAACGCGTCAAAAAAGCGTTCGCGCGATTCTCGTAAGCGAGCATAGTAAAGTCACAAATTGTTCACTCCGCAACTCGGCACACTACAGTAACACTAGGTGTAAACAGGTGTGACGGACGACTCCTCTAAACAGCTGATGTAGCCGGGTTCCCGTGCTAGTTGTACTGGTTCGCCCCTCCACGGACTGTCTGGTGATAGGAGATAAGACGGTGTTTGTAAACAATGCCAAAGGTTACGAATTGTCACACTGTGGGGAGCGTTTGTTGTGTTCTAGTCCATTTGTCCTGATATGGGTAAAACATAATGGATGTTTCAATGAATGGTGTTAAAACAACATGTAGTACACATTGCGTCAAAATAGGGGATGGTACAGGACCTGTTATCAACTGGTGCGGGGCTTAAGACTGGATGACATAAGAAAGATGATGTTTTTTACGGCTATTGCTCCTGGGGGATCGTCTATAGTTTTAGACTTATTCTCAGTTTTCAACCTTACACAATACTACGATATGGAGAAGGGTAGTATAGTTAAAACACAGACAATGGAATAAACCATTAAATAAATATAATAATATATATAATATAATAATATAATATATATATAATAATATATATATATAATAATATAATATAATAATAATATAATAATGGAATAAACATTAAAGTATTATATTGTCTGTGGTTAAAATTTCGATTTAGTTGATATTGCGTAATAATTTTGGGAACTATCAAAATAACTTAGGGGCGTATATCATAAAATTACTTATCACAATACAAAAATCACATACACTTGACCATAAAAAATGCACTACATTAAATAATGCGTTGGATAGGATAAATTAGACTGTACAAAGATACAGTGATATGATATTGTGTAGGCTACGCACCGTGAGATACGGTGCAGACGGTAAATATTGAATATTGGCCAACGGTGGCACGCGTCTATGTACAATCATTTTTGTTTTCCTACTATAAAAGATATTATTTCTTCTACATATGGATAACAAGAGACATTTTAAACTACGGCAGTACGTCTACTCAAGAAAATGCTTGGATTAATTTTTGAAATGTTTTTTGTTGTATGCCTATTTCAACGAATCAGTATAAAAGATACAAGTGTATTTGCAGGAGGGAGAGGTACTGGAGAGTTCATTCCAAAAGTTTAACACATTCGTTCAAAAATACATTTTGACATCTTAAAACCAAATAACGCACATTATTGAAATTGTCATGTTTTATTTTTAACACCATTGGAACTTTTCACGTTATTTGTTAGGAAACTCTAATCTCGTTATTAGCTAAGGTCGACAACCGGCTCCATTACCCGATAGCCTAATGACAAATGGCATCTAGATAAGTTTGTGATGTGGCTTTGATTACAGAAACTACTGTAAAGTAAATTTGTTTCCCAGTCGTGCCAAAATTATGAGATTAAAGTCAACTAAGCCCTCGAAAATATGTGCCGTTTTTTCTAGTACCGTTTCCGCTAAAAACAATGAAGCAAATGTGTGTTTACCATCAACTTCGTGCAGTTATTGTAACGTATCGCATATTTTATACGATCAGCAAACACAATATAAAAAAATAATATCGAAAATAGGGCTTTATTTCATCAGAGCCTCATCCAACAAAGTTTTTATTAGTGAAACACAGTATGTAATGTATATATTAATATCCAAAGCCGATGGATACAAATCAAAGTAGGCGACAACTTATCACTTGGTAGATGATAAATCCATTACTAATATATGTTTAGCTTTTTAGTCACCGTCTCAGGTCAACGACCGACGACATTCCCAGCATCCTGAGCGAGATTGACAGACAGTGCGACGCTCTGATTGGTCCGTTGGGTTTACATAGTATAATCGGCGGGAAATGATACTATTTAACACACAACGTGATAACAAGTCAATATTGGCATTTCTTGGCGCCTCTAAACTTTACATAGTAAGATGAGGATGTTTAACATAATCAAGTTTTATGACAGTAAACATTTGACTGGAGGGAACAGTTTTGATATTTATGACCGACTAGTGACTACTATGCATTGCTGGCTAATAAACGGGACTTCAATCTGCAGTCAAAGCTATTATCTAAAACTGACGATGAAATTACGAAAAACGATGAAAAACTGTAGAGTGTGCGATTGCGATACTTAAATAAGAAACGCTTGCATAGAGATGTTTTGAGCCAGGAGATCCTTCTTTTGATATTTAAGGAG